TCCTGTTCTAGATCACCCGTGTGTGTCCCGCCCGCCAGCTGGATCAGCCCACCCTGCGAAGGATCCTGGAAGCGGTGGGCTTGAGCCTCCCTGCCCGGCTCCTGGTGACCTCCGTCCGGGGAGGTGTGTGTGCAGGACTACCCCACCAGCAGATGCTCTCTCTGGGTACCGCTCTTCTGGCCTCTCTAAGCTTAGATCCACACATGGCCTCTCATCACCAGCTCCTCAGCACTGTCCCCCTCCTTCTGGACATCATCTCTAAAGGTCTGGACCAGAACCAGCAGACCCGACCTGGGCACAGTCCAGTGGTTTCAGACCTGTCAGAGGGTAGCAGGCCTGCCAGTGATGCAGACAGATGGTCTCATCTTCAGGGAACCTCCCTTCTGGAAGAACCCATAGCTGCAGACTGCTACCAGGTTCTGACAGCTGTGTGTGCCTTGCCCAAGGGCTCTGAGCAGCTCCTGAGCAGGGGAGCCATCCCTGCTCTTTGTCGGGCGGTGGAACAGAACCAGACCCTCAGCTACCAGAAAGGCCTCACCTTGCTGGGGTGCCTTCTTTCAGGTAAAACCAAGGACAGAGCATGGAGCAGACATCCAGCAGAACTTCTGTCTCTGCTAACCAGACTCTCCACGGACTTCTGCCGGGCCCCGGACCCGACTCGACTGGGGATGTGTGCCCAGCTGGTGCAGTTCCTGCCCCCAGCAGGGGTGGTGTCAGGTAGTGAGGCGTTGAGGGGGGCAGTGAGCCAGGTGTGGGCTGCACTGAGACCCACACTGCAGGCTAAGTTAACACCAAGACTGATTGGACTGGTTCTGGTGCTCAGTGCCTGTTTACTGGACTTGTGTGGTTGGGAGCTGGCAGGACCACCCAAGTTCTGCTGCCTGTTGGTGAACCGGGCCTGTGTGGAAGTCAGGATGGGATTAGAAGAACCACCTGGGACGGATGTGAGCTCAGAACTGCAGCACACGCTCACAGGTAGTCTGTTTTTCTCACTGGTTCTGATTTGGGTTCTGCTGCCGAGACAAACCGTCCAGGTTAGCTCTCAGAGCTAACCGCTACCAGCGGAGCTCCACCAGGAACCTTCATCATCTAGCCCTAAGCCCATCATCATCACTAACCGGAGTTTACTCCTCACAGGATGTTACCGGATCATGGAGGCTGCCATGGAGCAGGCCTGCACGGGTGGAGCTGCTCCTCCTCTTCGCTCCTCTTCCTCGCCGTCCCTCAGCCTGCAGCAGAGCCGGCAGGTCCTCGGGGTTCTCGAGGAGGCCTTCTCCGCCGTGATGTTCTACCTGCAGCAGGTGAGAGTGGTGGAGGTTCTGGAATCGGTGTGTGCTCTGGGTTCTGTGCTTTCACCTGTATGATGTCCTACTGAGCGCGCTCAGACAGCATCACCTGTAGCCTGTTTCCTCAGGTGGATCCCGGTCGCTATGACGATCCGTTCGTGTTTGCCACCTTTCGCTCGTTGTGCTCGTGGCTGGCAGAAGAGACTTCCTGTCTGAAGGAGGAGGTGACCAGACTGTTACCGTTCCTGATTAGCTACTCACGGCGCCACCTGCAGGCTGGGAGCTTGGAACAGGGACTCTCTGATTGGATGGCCATGGTGTTTGTGAGTGAGGGGGGCGGGGCGTGGACTGGCGGCGAGGCTCTGAGGTAAACACCGACTTGTGTGTGACATCAACAACTCCCTGAGTGATGTTGACAGCAGGCTCCACCCCCTTTGCAGGTATCTTCTCCCAGCTCTGTGCCACCTGTCCGCTGAGGAAGGTCCCAGGCAGGTGCTGCTGACCCTAGACGCTCCGGCGCTGCTTGTGGACTTCCTGCTGCAGACCTGGACCTCCTTAAAGGGGCGGAGTGACAGGGCGTCCTCCAGAGACCCGAGCAGAGAGACGGCGTGCTCCGCCCTCCTGAATTTTACCGTCACTGAGCCGGAGACCGTCAGGTAGTCACGATGAGCCTGTAGCGTGTTTGTGATGCTGACGTCATGTGACCAACCGTCTGCCCTCTGGTCTGCAGGAAGGATCCGTGTTACAGAGCCCTGGAAGTTCATCTGAGCGAAGCTCTTCCTGTTCTGGTGAATAAACCCCACCTCCTGGTCTTAGGGGCCAATTATGTCACTTTAGGACTGATGATTGGCAGGCTGAAGTCTCCTCCTTCAGGTCAGAACGGGTCTCCACCTGTCCCTGTAGAACGCCACGTGTGTCTGAAAGGTTCTGACCCGTCTGATTGTCTTCAGGCTCAGTGGAGGCGGATCAGAAACGGTTCTTCACTGCAGCTTTGCGGTTTCTTCGTGGAGCCCTTGAGTCCGGTTCTGGTTCTGGTTCTGGCGTGGTTCAGGTGAGCGTGAGCTGGAAGGACAGCTGGGACGAAGCTGCAGAGCTCTGGCGCTTGTCTCTTCAGGTTCTGGGAGGCTGTGTTCGGACCTGGCCGTGGGTCGTAGGGCTGATCCGGGAGGAAGGCTGGCTCCAGCACACCGTCAGCATGCTGGCCCGATGCAGCGGTCTGCCCGACCAGAACACACAGGTGGTTCTGGAGGAGGTGCTGTGTGCCGTGGTGGAGCGGTGCTCCGTCTGTCAGCAGGAGATCAGCGATGTGATGAGGAGAGAGCAGGGAGGAGCTCTGAGCAGGATGAGGAGTCTGAAGGAGCTGGTTAGACTGAAGTGAAGTTGGGACACAGAACCGGGCCGCTGGGGTTCTGCTGTGGGTCTGATGAAACCTGCTTCATTCTAACGGATGACTCCACCGCTGCTCCTCCCTCCATCCAGCAGGAAGCTCACTCATTCACAGATGGGGGAGGGTGTGGAGCCTCACTCATTCACAACGACAAACACCTGCGGACACTCGGTCCAAAACAGAACATTTGTATAAAACCGAACAATAAAAACATTTAAAACGTGAGTGAATCCCGTTCCTCTGCTTTGTGGTTGTCCCACCAGCAGGTGGCGCCAGAGCGCCGGCCCGACCAGCCCTTCATGCGGACTGGTGAGGTTCTCACAGCGCAGTTTTGTGTCTGTGGAGCACAAAAGCGCTCAAAGTTCAGTACATTAGACATGAAATAAAGAACTACATGAAGAAGTACTAGACAGTCGTGTAATCTGGCAAGGAAAGGGTGAAATAACAGAATTATGTAAAATCTAAGCTCAATATTACAAAATATTCTTCATTCTTTTAAAATGTCCATTAATATAAAGTTTTTTCAAAAGTCATTTTTTCATAATAATCCAAATTTATATTGAACCATTTTTATTTAATTCGTTCAGTTTTTATTACATAACGTCTTTTTAACAAAGACAGCTTTTATTTCATACGTTTTTTTTCCCGTGGCTGATTTACGTCATAATGACGTTTTACAGCAGCGCGTCTGAGTCCGGAAGAACGAAGAAACGACGTCATTCTCTACTTGTTACGTGCCGTGGATTTCACACGTGATGTCCGTAAATTTTAAAGGACACGTTTATTTTCTAACGGGGGAACGATATTTTAGGTGTTGTGTGAAAATAAGTCCAGGACTACAAACGCTTCACCAGAGTGACGTCATCGAACCAGACACGGAGAAACCTGAGGGAAAAGGCTGGAAGTTCAGCAAACTTCCCACAGGAGGAAAGAACCACCATGAATCTGGTCATGTGGTGAGTAGCAGCTACACCAGGGGGAGGAGCTTATGTGGCGACGTCACAAATGCGACATATCGATGTCAGATTTGTAGTCATGCTAAGTACGAACTTTTACAAGCTGATAAAGACCGGCGTGGTCGAAACCATCATTAGATTTCATGCAAACAGAAGCCAGGGTCAGAGGCAGAGCGGGTTAGGAGGTAACGTTCAGCCCGGTTCAGGGACCCGTGAGCCAACCGACTATCCTGGCTACTCGTCCATGTGCTACTTTGGGAAATGCGCAGACCGACTAGTACGTCACAGGCTGCTCACCTGACACGGCTAGTGTTGAATCCACCCTCTGCAGGACTGGTGTGATGTCATCACAATCTGCATCCATCACCAGGGGCCTCACTTATCAAGCTTGCTTACGCACAAAACGGGGTCGGAAAACTGCGTTAGCAACTTTCCACGCAAACTTTGGGATTCATGAAAGAAAACGTAGCAGAAAAATGTGGCAACTTTAAGTAGACTAAGGACCTGACTCACACACCTGCTGGACATGGAGAGCACCTGCAGAGCTGCTGCTGAGAAGATACAATTATGAAATCCTGCAGCATTATCACTTGTACACACACACACACACACACACACACACACACACACACACACACACACACACACACATGCACACACACACGCACACACACACACACACACACGCACACACACACACACACACGCACACACACACACACACACACACACACACACACACACACACACACACACGCACACACACACACGCACACATACACACACACACTCACACACACACGCACACACGCACACACACACACACGCACACACACACGCACTCACACACACACACACACACACACGCACACACATACACACACGCACACACACACACACACACATACACACACACACACGCACGCACACACACACACACACACATATGCGTGCACACTCACTCACACACACACACACACAAACATACACTCACTCACACACACACACACACACACACAGCCTGAAGTGCAGAACATCAGCAGGGGGACAGATTGAGACAGAACATCATGTGTGTGTGACAGTGTGTGTCCTGTCACTGTGACCTGATTGATCATGTGACTGGTTGGTGCGCGTGACGTTCACCCGGGGAGTCGGGGATCGAATCCTGATTGGACTGTTTATTTATATCGGCCACAGATCTCTCTGAAGAAGTCAGCATTGACGGCTTCAGCAACGCTGTGCCACTATGTGGATTTTCTCTTATTTGTTTTGCAAAAGCACTTCCTGTCATTTCTCCACCTCACCCACAGGTACCTCAACTTCTGCTTGTGAAATAGCGCTTTCTTGATCTGCCTTGATCTACGGTCGCCATGTCATTGGTGGAGCGCTGCAACAGTCGGCTTATGTATATGCATGAGGTCCACAAGGCACTTTGCATTGACCATTTATGGCAGTAAGTGGGCGTGGTGAGGGCGGGATGTGACTAAAAAGCAGCTGAGAAACATTCTCGTTAGTCTCTGATTTAAGAAGCGGAGATAGCGTGCAGCTGTGCGTCCTCCATGTTTGATAGGTCACACACCTGCTTGGTGTAAGTACTTTAGTTTTGCTGAGCTTAAGTACGGTTTTAGTAAGGATTCTACGCCATGTATGATAAATGAGACCCCTGGTCATTTACCTTCTACCTCCAGGAGAAAAACTCCTTAACGGGATTTAGGAATGGAGATCCTTCACAGGCATCCAGTCATGAACGAAGACTAGTCAGCCTGGACGGGTAGATTTCATCATAAAAGCAAGTCCAAGTGCACGTGGGCTATTTGTCCCTAATTGCTTCATGTCCAGAAGAACATGTTGCACTAACTCGTGAGAAATGCACCAAAGCGACTGAGAAAACTGTAATCTGGATTATTTCCTCATTTACACGTTGCTCACACGTCATGTTCTACATTAGCAGTCAGACCGGGTCAGAACCAGAACAGGAGCGGTCAGGATGTGCATTTATCCTCCAATAATAATAATATAATAATATTAATAATAATAATTTCTGTTTTCCTTTAAATAACAAATAACAGATTTTTATTTTTTATTAGAAAAGTTTCATGTTTGAAATAAATCTTTGTTAAAATCAACAATTTGCTTAAATCTTGTTTGTGTGAAGCTGCTCGTGACTTTAATCCTGAGAGGCGCTAAATAAATAAACAAATAAATAAATAAACAAATAAATAAATAAATAGATAAATAAATACATAAATAAATAAAACATCGCTTTCTGTATTTTCTTTTATTTTAGAGACTTTTTCAACAAATTAACTCAGAAAAACCTAAACTTAATATTTTACTTCAGATCAGTCAGCCTATAGCTGCACCCCCCCCCCCCCACACACACACACACACCATACCCCCCCCCCCCCACACACACACACACACACACACACACCATACCCCCCCCCCCCCCCACACACACACACACATAAACTCCGCCACCGTGCCTCAACTGTCACTCCTCTCTGCTCCTCCTCATCGCTCAGCTGCAGCCTGGTGCCGGACCCAGACCCAGACCCGGACCTGGACCTGGACCTGGACACAGAGCCAACATGTTGTGGAAGTCCCGATCTAAGACCGAAGTCGCGCAGGTAAAGTGGACAGCGCTCGTGGTTCTGGTTCTGGAGTGACCCGGCCGCAGCGGTTCTGTTGGTTTGTTCTGCGTAAAAATAATTTTAGTTTGAACTGAAAAATGATTTTTGCTCCCGCGGTGAGGAGCAGGTGGACATGTCCCTTTAAAGGGCAGACCCCCCCCCCCCCCCCAAATGGCGCGAGCGCGCGCCTCCTATAGGTAGCGCGCTCATGGAGAGGCACGAGTCCGTGCGCGCGTGTGCGTCTCTGGCAGCAGTAGCCGCCGCTTCTCATTTGATGGAAGCGCGGAGGAGCGCGGACACACCTGGACTCACCTGTGCGTCAGCGGAACCTGCGCGTCCACTTCTTGTCACGTTTGCGTTTCCCGAGCGGCCCAGATGTTGATCCACACCTACTCGTCCATGGTGAGTTGGGCTTTCCTGCAGGTTCCGGATCAGTGCGGACCCATCAGAATGTTTGTGGTGCCGACCCGGTTGTGTCGAGGTGGGTTTTTAGTCCAGATGAATAGTTGACCATCGGAACCGGTCCCGGTCAGTCTGACCAGTGGAGATGACCAGGATGAGCGGTACCGGATCCAGATAAAACTTTGGGTCACATTGAGGTTCGGGTGGAGGGCTCAAGCGGCCGGGATACAGTGACCCGGTTCGGCTGAATGATAATTGACCCAGACTCGGAGCCGCAGATCGATGAGGCTGACCCAGCTCCGGAAATGCGATGGTGGTGGTGGTGGTGGTGGTGGTGGGGGGGGGGGGGGGGGGGGGGGGCTTTGACCCATCAGTGCACTCTCACCTGTTTAGATGTTTTATTGGTTTTTCGGTCCATCTGGTCCGGGACTTGTCTCACCTGTTCTGGTTCTGTACAGGAGCGCGCAGACGGACTCAGCGGGCCTCCGAGTGGCCGCCTCCCGCAGCTGTCTTCCCTGAACCAGGCTGCCTACTCATCGGCCCCCCCGCTCTGCCACACGCCGGCCTCGGACTTCCAGCCTCCCTACTTCCCTCCCCCCTACCCGCAGTCCTCGCTGCCGTACTCCCAGAGCCAGGACTCGGCCTACTCCCACCTGTCGGACCCCTACCCCTCCATCAACTCCATCCATCAGCACCAGCAGGCCGCCTGGCACTCCCAGAGGTCACACTCCGATGAGGGGGTGCTGCTGTCTCAGTCTCACCGGGCTCTGAGCCTGGACCCCCGCCGAGACTATCCCGCCGTCCCGCGGCTGCTGCACGGCCTCGGGGAGGGGGCCGCGGCGCTGGGGGACGGACCTCTGGGGATGCACCTGGGCCACCACGGCCTCGAGGAGCTGCAGGTGAGTCCGGTCCTGGTTCCAGAACCGCGAGCTGGAGTCAAATTCACCAGGTTTTATTATTTGAGTTTTGATTATTAAAACCAAACAAAAACTAATGAATAAATAAATAAATAACAATAATAAATGTCGCTGATAAACATCAAAAGGCCCGAAAAGCTTTTAGCGCCAATTCAGCTGCGTGGTTGATCCTCCGTTAGATGCATTCATTTATGTCCGGTTATTTCATCATTATTTATCAATAATAACAACAATATTTTCCTAATTAAATTTAATGAACGAAATAAAATAAAATGTTGAAAAATAAAATAAAATACGACCTAAACTAAACAAGTGACTCTTTTCGGGATTTATTCTTGTTTTTATTTATTCGTTTTTGAAACATAAAAATGTCGTTTTTCCGTTTCATTCAAAGATAAACAAATAAAACATTTTTGTCTGAAATCGTTTTAATTAAAACTGTTGATGAATAAAAACGACGCGCGCGCACACAAGTCCCTCCGCAGAACAAAACCACTTTGCGCTTTTTGTTGTTTTTGCGCAGTCCCGCAGCGGCAGGTGCAGCTGAAACAGAAACTCACCGAGACGAATCGCTGCTCACGGTTGTTAACGGAACAGAGAGCCGTTAAACGGTCCTGTTCACGCGCAGCGTCATCTGATTAATGATGGTGATCCAGGATCTGGACCGGAACCACAGGTCAGAACCGGTTCTGTCCGAAAGTGTTAGAAAAAATAAAATCAGAATTAGTATTTTTATTCAACGTTTATTATCAATTAAATTAAAGAAATATTCAGTTTATTTGGCTAAAAACGCGCGAATATCCGTTGGTGACCGTGTGTGTGTGTGTGTGTGTGTGTGTGTGTGTGTGTGTGTGTGTGTGTGTGTGTGTGTGTGTGTGTGTGTGTGATGTAGGGGATGGAGGAAGGATCAGCCCTGGGCATCCTAGACCACTCAGTCATTAAAAAAGGTAAGAGGTGCTCGTGCGCGTGCAACCACGCACCTATAATTGTGCGCTTAAGGGGTTTGGGGCACTTCAACACAAGTCTCTCTCTCCTTCACACACACACACACACACACACACACACACACACACACACACACACACACACACACACACACACACACACACACACACACACACACACACACACACACACACACACACACACACACACACACTATAAATAATTCTGTTTTGCTTCTTCATTTGAAGTCAAGAAGTCTCCAACACCGAGCTGCAGACTCACCCCAAAGGCACAGATTCTTAATGAACTGTTCATGGTTTTGTGTGTGTGTGTGTGTGTGTGTGTGTGTGTGTGTGTGTGTGTGTGTGTGTGTGTGTGTTGGAGAGAGAGAGAGAGAGAAAATGATAACAGAGCGCTATGAGAGTCAGAAATGTAACCAGTGGGTTGCTGGTTCAAACCCAGGCTCTGTTGTTGTCTTTGGGAAGACCTCGGTGGTGGTCGGAGGGACCGGCGGCTTCAGTCAGCTGTGGCTGGGATGTAGCTCATTCATCAGTGGGTGAATGGATGAATGACTGTGAGGTAAAGAGCTTTGGAGTCCTCTGACCCAGAAAGGTGCTGCAGATGCAGGTCAGATACCAGCCCCCATCACTGAGATGTAGCAGGACAGTTTTAGCTTCTGTGTGGGCGGTGATGGGCCCCTCCCCCACAGTTCTGACTGGAACATCAGAGGTTCTAGAGAAAGTTCTCAGGAACAGGAGAAGACTAAGAACTGTTTAAATGACATGTTCTGGTTCTGTTCTGCCCAGTTCCCATCCCATCCAAACTGAACGGCTCGGCTCTGTCGGCGCTGTCCATCAGCAAAGAGGGTCTGGGTGTTGGCTCCGTGTCAAATCCAGCTGAGGTCTTCTGTTCGGTTCCTGGTCGCCTGTCACTGCTAAGCTCCACCTCCAAATACAAGGTGACTGTGGGCGAGGTGCAGCGCCGCCTCTCTCCACCCGAGTGCCTCAACGCTTCTCTGCTGGGAGGTGTCCTGCGCAGGTGAGAACAAAATCTCTAATGAACAGAAGACAGGAGCAGCAGGCTAAGTTACACAACTCATACATTTTATTTTGTAGAACCAGAGACAGGAAGTAAGGAACAAAACTATGCAGGAATGTGACACGCAACTTCAAATTCACTTCAATTAAAAAATACTTTCTTAATCCCAGAGGGAAATTAGAGTTTCAGTACACACAATTCTGAGATCAGACATACATACATAGACACGTGACAAGAATTGGTGACTGTGGTCATTCACAACCCGAGTCACGTTACCTTAATAGAGATCAGAGGTTTACATGAGGATTGGTTCAGGTGGAGGAAAAAAGGCACTTCAGAGTTACCCTCTACCCGGAGGACAGCTTTGCTCTGCAAAAAAACACCTCAGACAGAAATGCAACAGACTTCAGACAACACAACATAAGTGTCCACTAGGTGGGGAGGTAGGTGTGTTTACATGTTACCTAGAACAGGTGTGTTTACATGTTACCTAGAACAGGTGTGTTTACATGTTACCTAGAACAGGTGTGTTTACATGTTACCTAGAACAGGTGTGTTTACATGTTACCTAGAACAGGTGTGTTTACTTGTTACTTAGAACAGGTGTGTTTATTGTTACTTAGAACAGGTGTGTTAACATGCAACTTAGAACAGGTGTGTTTACATGTTACCTAGAACAGGTGTGTTTACATGTTACCTAGAACAGGTGTGTTTACATGTTACCTAGAACAGGTGTGTTTACATGTTACCTAGAACAGGTGTGTTTACATGTTACCTAGAACAGGTGTGTTTACTTGTTACTTAGAACAGGTGTGTTTATTGTTACTTAGAACAGGTGTGTTAACATGCAACTTAAAACAGGTGTGTTTACATGTTACCTAGAACAGGTGTGTTTACATGTTACCTAGAACAGGTGTGTTAACATGTTACCTAGAACAGGTGTGTTTACATGTTACCTAGAACAGGTGTGTTTACATGTTACCTAGAACAGGTGTGTTTACATGTTACCTAGAACAGGTGTGTTTACATGTTACCTAGAACAGGTGTGTTTACATGTTACCTAGAACAGGTGTGTTTACATGTTACCTAGAACAGGTGTGTTTACATGTTACCTAGAACAGGTGTGTTTACTTGTTACCTAGAACAGGTGTGTTTACTTGTTACTTAGAACAGGTGTGTTTACTTGTTACTTAGAACAGGTGTGTTTACTTGTTACTTAGAACAGGTGTGTTTACATGTTACCTAGAACAGGTGTGTTTACATGTTTCCTAGAACAGGTGTGTTTACATGTTACCTAGAACAGGTGTGTTTACTTGTTACTTAGAACAGGTGTGTTTACTTGTTACTTAGAACAGGTGTGTTTACTTGTTACTTAGAACAGGTGTGTTTACTTGTTACTTAGAACAGGTGTGTTTACATGTTACCTAGAACAGGTGTGTTTACATGTTACCTAGAACAGGTGTGTTTACTTGTTACTTAGAACAGGTGTGTTTACTTGTTACTTAGAACAGGTGTGTTTACATGTTACCTAGAACAGGTGTGTTTACATGTTACCTAGAACAGGTGTGTTTACATGTTACCTAGAACAGGTGTGTTTACATGTTACCTAGAACAGGTGTGTTTACATGTTACGTAGAACAGGTGTGTTTACATGTTACCTAGAACAGGTGTGTTTACATGTTACCTAGAACAGGTGTGTTTACATGTTACCTAGAACAGGTGTGTTTACTTGTTACTTAGAACAGGTGTGTTTACATGTTACCTAGAACAGGTGTGTTTACATGTTACCTAGAACAGGTGTGTTTACTTGTTACTTAGAACAGGTGTGTTTACTTGTTACTTAGAACAGGTGTGTTTACATGTTACCTAGAACAGGTGTGTTTACATGTTACCTAGAACAGGTGTGTTTACTTGTTACTTAGAACAGGTGTGTTTACTTGTTACTTAGAACAGGTGTGTTTACATGTTACCTAGAACAGGTGTGTTTACATGTTACCTAGAACAGGTGTGTTTACATGTTACCTAGAACAGGTGTGTTTACATGTTACCTAGAACAGGTGTGTTTACATGTTACCTAGAACAGGTGTGTTTACATGTTACCTAGAACAGGTTTGTTTACATGTTACCTAGAACAGGTGTGTTTACATGTTACTTAGAACAGGTGTGTTTACTTGTTACTCAGAACAGGTGTGTTTACATGTTACCTAGAACAGGTGTGTTTACATGTTACCTAGAACAGGTGTGTTTACATGTTACCTAGAACAGGTGTGTTTACATGTTACCTAGAACAGGTGTGTTTACATGTTACCTAGAACAGGTGTGTTTACTTGTTACCTAGAACAGGTGTGTTTACATGTTACCTAGAACAGGTGTGTTTACATGTTACCTAGAACAGGTGTGTTTACTTGTTACTTAGAACAGGTGTGTTTACTTGTTACTTAGAACAGGTGTGTTTACATGTTACCTAGAACAGGTGTGTTTACATGTTACCTAGAACAGGTGTGTTTACATGTTACCTAGAACAGGTGTGTTTACTTGTTACCTAGAACAGGTGTGTTTACTTGTTACTTAGAACAGGTGTGTTTACTTGTTACTTAGAACAGGTGTGTTTACATGTTACCTAGAACAGGTGTGTTTACATGTTACCTAGAACAGGTGTGTTTACATGTTACCTAGAACAGGTGTGTTTACTTGTTACTTAGAACAGGTGTGTTTACTTGTTACTTAGAACAGGTGTGTTTACTTGTTACTTAGAACAGGTGTGTTTACTTGTTACTTAGAACAGGTGTGTTTACATGTTACCTAGAACAGGTGTGTTTACATGTTACCTAGAACAGGTGTGTTTACTTGTTACTTAGAACAGGTGTGTTTACTTGTTACTTAGAACAGGTGTGTTTACATGTTACCTAGAACAGGTGTGTTTACATGTTACCTAGAACAGGTGTGTTTACATGTTACCTAGAACAGGTGTGTTTACATGTTACCTAGAACAGGTGTGTTTACTTGTTACTTAGAACAGGTGTGTTTACTTGTTACTTAGAACAGGTGTGTTTACATGTTACCTAGAACAGGTGTGTTTACATGTTACCTAGAACAGGTGTGTTTACATGTTACTTAGAACAGGTGTGTTTACTTGTTACTCAGAACAGGTGTGTTTACATGTTACCTAGAACAGGTGTGTTTACATGTTACCTAGAACAGGTGTGTTTACATGTTACCTAGAACAGGTGTGTTTACATGTTACCTAGAACAGGTGTGTTTACATGTTACCTAGAACAGGTGTGTTTACATGTTACCTAGAACAGGTGTGTTTACATGTTACCTAGAACAGGTGTGTTTACTTGTTACCTAGAACAGGTGTGTTTACATGTTACCTAGAACAGGTGTGGTGTAAGAAAGGAAACTAAAACATCCCGGCATCAGACAGACAAATGGCTCTAACCCAAACACAGAACCACAAAATCCAAAGGGATGAACGGGTGAATAAAACAAAGATTGTAACTCTTCTCAGCTGTGATGCTTTAATTCTGATTTCACCAGACATCAGAATAAAAACCAAAAGCTTATAAAAAGCAGATAAATTATCAGATCTGACAGGAAACAGAGGGACACACACACACACACACACACACACACACACACACACACACACACACTCACTCACTTGAATTAGCTCAGCCTCACTTTGTCCTCCCTCAGGGCTAAGTCAAAGAATGGTGGCCGCTGTCTCAGAGAGCGTCTAGAGAAGATTGGCCTCAACCTGCCCGCTGGGCGACGCAAGGCTGCTAACGTTACCTTGCTGACATCTCTGGTGGAGGGTAGGCAGACACACACACACACACACACACACACACACACACACACACACACACACACACACACACACACACACACACACACACACACACACACACACACACACACACACACACATCAGTAGATTGAGGGACTTTCAGCTGGAGGTCATTGGCTCATGTGACCTCCTAATGGTGATGTCACCTGAAGCCCTGTCACCACCGATGGTCACCTGGTGAACTTGCTTCAGAAGTTACATCTGAGGCCATATGTGGTTGGTGAGAATAGAGCATTACTTCTCTGTCTCTGGGGTGTTCCTCAGAGCTCTGTGCTAGGTCCAAACCTATTGGCCAATGGGTCAGGCTGCTAAAGCAGCTCTCTTATGTCTATGTATTTATCGTCTGTCCAAAGCCACTTACAGGTGACGGTGAAGCCAGCAGGTCGCCCTTGAGGCTAACAACAAGCACCATTCAGTCAGTCCTAGGTGGCAGTGAGGCAGCAGAATCAATCCTAAAGGGAAGTGAACAAGGAGTGTGCAGTAGAAAGGGGGACAGGTGCTGGTTTAGGAGATGCTCTCTGAACAGCCGGGTCTTCAGGAGTTAGGAAGCCCCTGCTCTGGTAGTGCTTGGTAGGTCATTCCACATCTGTGGAACGACACACGAAGAGTCTGGATTGTCCTGAGCGTGGCGTAGGT